TGAAATAGTTTTTATCAGTTTCCCATTTAAAGAAACATTTCCTAGAACTGGGCACACACAGTCAGGTGTTAAAGAATTATATAAATTTAATAGATGTATGAATTTGTCATGTTTATATATATATATATATATATATATATATATATAGGGCTGTCAAATGATTAATCGTGATTAGTTGCATCCAATAATATATGTGGCTGCACTGTGTATAATTTGAAATTTTCTTCTAAAATGATAATTTTTATCAAGCTTGTATATTTTAGTTCAGTAATTTCACTTAATTGGCAATGATTATTACCTATTAATTGTCATTTAAGTGAAATTACTGAACTTAAATATACAAACTTGATAAAAATGGTCATTTTAGAAGAAAATTTCAAATGGCATTTAGAGGCTTTTGCATCTGAACTCTTCATATATATATATATATATATATATATATATATATATATATATATATATATATAATACATACACACAAAATATACACACATATATATTTTGTAAACAACACAGACTTATTTTCGATGCGATTAATCTCGATTAATCGATTGAAATTATGTTATATATAAATATATATATTATATATAAATATAGTTCTGACATGAAACTCTAGATGATGCAGGCTGATAGGTCTCTTTAAATTATTGGTAGAAATTATGTAATTATTTGCATAGCACAGCTGATTGGTTGCTATTTCATCAACGGGCATTGAGCTTGCTGCTCAAACATTCAAATGCTTGGCATTGTTTGCGGTTGACAGTCTGCTGCACGCTTTCAGTACACACTCTCCCTTCCCCAGCTCCAGCTGTGTAGATCTGTACAGGGGTTAATTCAAGTCTCATGTACTTGCTTTGCAGCATCATAGCAGATCTATTCCACAAAGACCAAATACATTAACATTGCCATATCCATTATCATGCCAATGTCTTACCATACCAATCTCCAGAGAGTTGTCATGCCAGATATTAGCATATATATATATATATATATATATATATATTATACATATATTACATATATATATATATATATATATATATATATATATATATATTTTTTTTTTTTTTTTTTTTTTGAAGTATATGAACTACTGAACTAGTTCATTTTAAAATGTGTGAACTGAACTTTGAAGTAGTTCATTCATGTAGAAAGTGAACTTTCCCAACACTGGTTGTTATTTATAGCTAAGATTGTAATCATATGTAGCCTATAAGTGAACATGAAGATTTTATAAGTAAAATTTGATATTTTAGAGCATGGTAGATTTTCTTTCTAATAGAGGTTAAACTTGGTTTCAAATTCAGTGATGCAAACTGATTATTTTGAGACTGACGCTCACTAAGACCTTCAGATGTATGTGCTATCTTTGTGTCCTTCTTCGGGTGGTCTTTTACTCTGGAGATTTTTTTTAACACGTCACTGGAGGCCGACAAAACGATTGCTGTACAGCATTTTCCTCAGACGATCTGTTCCAAGGCCACTCCTGTGGGGAGGCATTGCCACGGCTTTGAAGTGCTGGAGCTGTGATGTTAGATTTTTGCTTGTCTCACACTTTGTGGAAGGAGTCCAAACTCTCCTTACTTTAAAAAGTCCCAGTACACTGAACTTATTCTTTCTTTCTTTTCTTCTTCTTCTTTTTTTTTTAACTGCTGACTTTCTTTTGATGATGTTGAGAATTCAGTATCCCTTTGTAAGACCTTTTCCCTGGCTTTTAATATTAAGATGGAATTCCATTTGCACTGAAGGTGATGTTTATTGATTTTGTTCTGAATATTTGGAGCGTAATGCTCAAAAACAGTAGGTGCTTTAGCTGAACGGCAGGCAGGGTCCAAAACTGACATTCCCCAAGCACCAAATTAAGTTCTTAAATTGGCTGTATAAAACTGTTTTTTACTAACTGCACTGTTTTATGTAGGGCTGGTTTAGAAATATAGATTCTTGATTTTAATAGACTGTCATTTTGATGAAGCGGTATTGATTTTTAAATTCCCATTCACTTTCACAGTTACTAAAATGTGTTTCTTTGCACACTCTTCATATCACAGTCCTGCAAAGATGACAAAAATGTACTCAAAAATGTGAGATCAGTTGTGTTTTAGACCAAACATATAGCCTAGTGGTGACAGGGTGTGACCTCGACGCATCAGTGAATGGTGAGATGTTTAAATAAAATGATCCTAATTGATACCTTTATTATGTCTTGTTACGTCTATATCATATCAGTTAACTTTTATGAGGTTTTACGCATGCACAGTTTGGTGGATTTAGCATTTTCTGACATGTCACAGTGAACGTGAAACTTTTGGAAAACACTTGCTGTTTTCAAATGTATCTGGATTAAAGGGGACATGAACTTGGAAATTAAAATTCCCTTGATCTTTTGACATGTATAATAGGAAGTATTATTAAAAAAAACATCCTGTGTAAGTTTCAGAATTTAAAACTTTCTCATTAGTCAAAAAAAGTATTATAATGTTATAAAGACTTTTAATAAAGTTGACATTTAAGATATCTAAATATAGCAGTCTATCAAAATCATTTAATTTTAACCTTTAATATTATAGGAATGTATCAATATGTTCCTTGTATAGTTTACAGCATTAGTTTAAAAATTTCATCTATTGAAAAATTTGGTGTAGGTACTGAATCAAAATTGAATTGATTCAAAATCAGACTTGAATCAAATCACAAGCTTGTGAATCGAAATCGAAGTAAATCATGACATTTGTGTCAATGCCCAGCCCTAGTTTTAAGTTAAAATCAAAACCGATCATCTGTTTTGGCCCTGGCTGGTGGTTAACCAGAACGAAGTTGAAATCTGTAATCAAAGGCATAGCAAAAAATTGCATCTGCATAGACCTCCGTTCATCTGTTTTAAGGACAGTTTTAACTGGAACACAGTTTTAAGTTATTTTAGATTTAGTCCGAGAGCTTTCTGTCCCTCCATTGAAAATATCTACGGTATACTGTCCTTGTCCAGAAAGGAAATAGAGACATCATCAAAGTAGTCCATGTGACACCAGTGGGTCAGTTAGAATGTTTTAATGCATCGAAAATACATTTTGGATAAAATATAATATTTAAATGATTTATTAAGTTGATTGTTTTTTTTTCACTCTAGACCATACAATGGCTTGTCATATTGCCAACAAATGAAAGTATTCATATAAGTACAATAATGTGGGATCGTTATGGTTCATTTTGACAGGTTAGACAAAGGTAACAGCAATTTAGTGCAAAGTGCATTTGTGGCATTCTGGATCGTCTTATTCTCTCTTGAATTGCATCAATTTGCCTAATTGCTTAATTTGCCTATTACTGCATTATATTAGCCCGGCACTATCACAGACTAACACTCGCGGAAACCCTTATAATGAAACACCTATGACCCACTTGGGCTGCTTTATTATCTCTTTGTACTTATACGTAAATGAGGAATGTTTGCATTTTTTTTTTTTTTACATAATATATATTTGACTGCTTAATTAGTAAATGCAGAGGGCTGTGTTTTCAACCAAACTTAGCAGTGCCAATAATTAGCAGCAGCAAAACAAACACATTTGAAATCAGCCATCAACCTAGTTGGGAATAGCTACAACGCAGCAGTGGAAGTAAAAGAGATGAGCACCACTAAAAGGAAATCACATTTGAAGTTCCTTACTGGGAACTACACAGCTTTTTAATATTTGCAGTCTCAACATCAACACAGTGGTGGTTACCACAGCTCTCTGGATCAACACAGTTTTCATTTAGGGTGACCGCTTTGTTGTGTAATGGGATCAGAACCAGTTTTCTGTCCAAAAGCTTTCTGACATCTGTCTGAGAGCGAGGCTGCTGGCACTTTTAGCTCAATGAGAACTGTAAAGTTTCTAAAAAAGCCTTTTTCTCAAAGGTAAACTTGTGAATTATTAAACAAGGGCTTGGGCTAGGGGGTCCCTGAGGTAATCTGCCAGTTGCAAATTTGAATATTAAAGCTTTCTATCACATATGGAGAGCCTACTGGTATAGAATCTGATCGCCACTGGGTGTTTAAAGAAGATAAATGATTCTTTACCTCCTAGAAAAGGTGTAACAACAGAATTTAATTTTTTAAATGTGACAGGGATCCATGTCTATGTCCTTGGGTTGTTTACAGCTGATCTGTCAATCATGTATTATACAATATACAATAAAAGAATAATTTTCGTAGACAAAGAATATACATTTCCTTTGTCTTTAAAACTATATTTTTAAACCTAATGAACTGTTTCAGAAAGAAAAGTAATATAATACGGCAGAATGGATTTGATTCTGGTTGATTTGTTCATTTTGTCATTAATGTTTTTTCTGCCATATGCATTTCAGTTGCTATTTATTAGCAAATATAATATTCAAACTGTTATTAAAGGGTTACTCCACTTTTTTTGGAAATAGGCTCATTTTACAACTCCTCCAGAGTTAAACAGTTGGGTTTTACCGTTTTCGATTGTATTCAGCCGATTTTCAGATATTTAGAAGAATATCGTAACCAGACAGTTTCTGGTCTCATTGACTTCCATAGTATATTTTTTTCCTACTATGCAAGTCAATGGGACCACAAACTGTCTGGTTACTGATATTGTCTAAATATCAGAAAATCGTCTGAATGGATTCAATGACGGTAAAACCCAACTGTTTAACTCTGGGGGAGTTGTAAAATGAGCCTATTTCCAAAAAAGTGGAGTATCCCTTTAAGACAATATGTACAGTTCATTCTGTAAGTTGCGTGGATTCATCAATGGTAACTTCTAAGTTTGTGGTAACTTCTAAGCCAACTCAAAAGAGTAATTTGTTTGTCTATCATACTATACTTTACTTAATGGGATTTATTCTGTAGGCAAGACAAATTTAGAGTGTAAAAACAATGAGACTGATATCGTTCTTTAGGTACAAGGAGGATTTTTTTTGGTGGATGTTTAATGTCAAGGTTTTCACTGCCTTTCAAACTTCTAACTCTGTTTTTTCTTTTCCTCTTACAGGCATGAAAGTGAGGGCTTGTGTGTCTCAAATGTCAGGTAGGTCAGGAGAGGACACCCTCTCTGTGGATCATCTGCTGTCACCATGATGCTTGTAGGAGATGCTTGGAGAACTGCATTTCTCATTGCCATGTCAAACTATGCGATGCACATTATTTAACAGACATGTCATTTCCATGACTGAGTCATGCATCTTTGTTCACATTTTCTGTGCCGTGTCTCAGACTCGCTTTAGCTTCTTGGATGGACATCCTCATTGTCCTCATCACAGACTTGTAATCTGTTTCCCTCATTGGGGATTTGTGGGAAACACTGACAATTTTATTTATTTATTTTTTACTTTTACTAGGGCTGCTGATTTTTGGATTATGCGGATTATTTTTAAGCTTTTCAATTTACGTTCAAGGGCATTGTGTAATCAGGGATGTACCTTTGAATGCTTTCAATATCGCGTTAAGTACCCCCGCCACCCTTTTTTTTTTTTTTTTTAGCCATGGACAGTTTTATCTTCAACACTTCATAAAATAGCTTATGGCTATGATATGTATTTATTTTTAATTAAATGAATATGTCCTGTTAAAATTAAAAGGTTATAATAGGGCAGATTCTGTCATCATTTACTCACACTCAAGTTGTGGCAAACCTTTATGAGTTTGTTTCTAAATAATGATGACAGAATTTTCATTTTTTGGTTGGAGTATCCCTTTAAAGTGTAAATTGTAACAACTAGACTAACAAGTTATTTATTTCTTTATTTGTATCCTGAGACACTGCAGATTAAGATATCGAATGAAATATGTCACTGGTTGTT